TCCTTTTTTTTCCGCGCGCGTAATCTGCTGCAACTAATTTACGCAAATAATGTTTGGTCCCTTCCCCTCCTCTCCTGCGAGACGGCGGCGGCCGGTCTGCGCCTTTACCCCGGTGTGCCGAAGCAGGCCAAACAGGCCCGCCTCGAGGCCCGCCAAGGCACAAGGCACGGCCAGGGCACCGCCAGCAGGGCTCCACCGCACCGGCAACAGCCCACATTTCCATTCCAATTAACGGCACGGCATCGCAGATCGGCTTGCACACAATTACCGAGAGGTACGCCCAGCGGCCACCGGACACCTCCATCGACCCGGCCGGAAAGTGGAATTTACAGCAACACAATAAAAACAACAACAACGACACATGTACGATAACGGATTATGTGAGAGCGGCACCCCCGAACACGCAAATAATGCAATATTTTTAGAATATAGAAAAATTATAAGAGAAACGCCGTTTTTCCCCTTTCGTTTTTAATCGGGAGAAAACGTTTTCGTGCGTGAGAGCAGTATTTCCTTTAAACCAAGTTTCTTGTGCGGCATGGCGACGCAGAATTTGCGGCCTTCAAGAGCATGCGTGGTGTATTGACGTTACAGAGTAAACGACATTGGCGCGTAGTTGGTTCGTAGTTGAGCGAAGCCCCGCGCAGTTCGACTGCAACGCACACACGCGTGTGGGAGGGTTGCCTATCTACAAGGGGCCATGTGACGCCCGAAGGCAAGACTAGCTCAGCGCGTAGGGATTTTTGGAGAGGGCCATGACGACTCGTGTACAAAACACATGGGCCAACTGATCTTGGTAACCAAACTAACAAAATTTGCCACTTTTTAGCAAATTAGTTGGTTTAAAGAGCCCGATAAAGCTCGAAAACGTACATCAATTGTGGTTTACTATACACTACGACTACAATCTGGTGCAATCATACAAACTGTGGACACAATTTTTGTTAAGTACTTGTAGCCCGCACGTGTTTTCAAACTACCTCTGCTGAAGGTAGTGATACTGAGAAGCAGAGGCGGCAGTAGTTTACTTGAGCCTTCCACGAAATCATTCCGAGTTTCAGTGGGAATGGCAGCCAGCGCTCATCATACGATGTTTGCTGTGCGCTGCAGCGGGGCGAGCGCGGCACGCGGGACAAGCAGGGCAAGCAGGGCAAGCAGGGCAAGCAGGGCAAGCGGGGCAAGCAGGAGCAGGGCAAGCAGCAGGGCGTGTCCGCTGCTAGGCGCCCGCCCTCCGCAAACCACGGCCGCACATTAGAGGGCTTTACTCTGGAGAGGGAGGGGGCTGAAGAGGATGTGATGATATGGGGCGGCGGCGCGCGGGCGGCAGGCGCCATGCGCGCTCATTCCCTCGATTGTGCAGCAGCGCGCCGAGCCGGGCCCCAGCCCGCCTCATCATGGTCACTATTGTCTACGGACACGGCGGCCCGAGAGGGAGGGGCGCACAAACACGCACAGAGAGAGAGAGAGAGAGAGAGAGAGAGAGAGAGAGAGAGAGAGACGCACACAGCGATAGTGAGCGGCGCGTCCCTCCCTGCAACGAGATGTTTCACATGCTGTCGCTGTAACGGGCAATCGAGCGTGCCTCAGTGATAGGTGCGAGGAGGCAGGCGGGAGAAGAGCAAGAGGGGAAAGGGAGAGGGGCAGAAGAGAAAGAAAAAGGGACAGAAGAGAAAGAAAAAGGGACGGAAGAGAAAGAAAGCTAGAGAAAGAGAGCAGAAAGAGAGAAGAGAGAAGAGAGAGAGAGAGAGAGGGGGGGGCGACGAGAGAGGGTAATAGAGGAGAGAAGGGCGAGCGAGGGGGCAAGCTTGGAGAGTGAAAGGGGGGAGAGTTGGAGGGAAGGGGGCAGAAACAGTGAATGTGCTCGACCCTCGTCCAAAGAGGCGGTTCTGTATGTGCGAGGGGGGAAGTGGTTAGGGGGTGCGCGGGGCGGTTGACGTGCCCCACGCGCGCAGAGCGGGTACCGACCTCACTCGGTGTGTTGCTGCACTCTTCTGAACCCAACCAACCCAGCCCCCGGGGCACAATACGACGCGCCGCGCCCCGCAAGTACACCTTGGGCCATGAATATGGCTATGTGTGTGCGTGTGCCTGTGTGTGAGTGTGTGCGTGTGTGTGTGTGTGCCTGTGTGTGTGTGTGTGCGTGTGTGGTGGTGACATGTACTGCAGGGGAAGAAATAACTCTTGCGGGCGTATAGGTGGCCGGCCGGTGTGTGGGCCGAGCTGGGACCATACATCATAGACTCGGGCGTGACAGTAAATGTATGCCCGGAGTGAGGCCGCACGCGCGCGCACACACACACACACACTCTCTCACACACACACAGCGTGGCATGCAAGATGTGCGCTGATGTGGTGCTGATGCGACGTATCAGTGTCGCGGCATCTTCCGCACAAGATGCTCCCGGCAGCCCGCCCCGCCCCACCTCGCCCCCTACATGTACATGAACGACCTCTATCCTCTAACCCCCCACACACCCCCCATAGCCATATAGCGTACGGCGAGCTGGTCCGCCCACATCAAAAATTATTGTTGCACATTTCTCCTCGTTTATGCTTCCGCACTGCATGGTACATTTACATGTATTTTTAGTGCTGCATAGTGTTCTCCCCAACACAGCTTTTCGAAATAAACTTAGAATCGACTGATTTTTGTAAGTCGGCCGGCGGCTGCATGAACGGGTTAAAGGGTACCTCTTTCAAATATTTTAATAATATCTTCTAAAACTAGATTTAGTTTTGGTGGCAACTCCATAATTTTTGAAGTTGGTTTGCCTTTCGTTTTTTTTTGCAGGTTCACTCCCGTCGTTTACCCTCCCGCCCTGTCCTTTTCCTTCCTGGCCTTAGGAGTAACCCAAGCCTAAACGTCGCAGGCATTTCATCACGACGCCGGGGCTGGGCTGGGGGGCGCTGGCGCCGCGTGGCGTGGCCTGGCGTGGCGTGGCGCCGGGGGAGGGTGGCAGGTGAGCGGGCCGCATTGCCTATCTTCCTGCCATCATCCTCGAGACAGAAAATAAAATGACAAGAAAAGGCGGAAGCAGCTCCTCCTCGCGCTGCCCTGCTCTCCCCTCGCCCCGCCGCTGCTCCCTCTCCTCCCTCCTTCCTGTCCGCCGCGACGCGAGTCCTCGCAATATCGATCTCAATGTTGACGTGCCCCCTCCCCCTCTCTTTCTCTCTCGCTCTCTCTCTCGCTCCCTCTCCCTCGCTCTCATCCTTCCCCGCGGGCGGTGGCTCGGCGGTGCCCCACGCGCGTCCCCCTGCGCGGCCCCGTGTGGCTGTCTCTCTCTGTCTCTCCCTCTCTCACTCACTCACCCACTCGCTCCCCTGCCTGCGCCCCTGCTGCTCTCTCCTGGCGTCTTCAGTTTGCAATCACTTGAGCGATAGACTTGTCTTCCTTCCTATATTTTGTGTCGCCCGGCGACGCTGCCCCGGGCCCTCCCCCTTCCCTCCCCTCTCGGGAGCATTACACATTCTACTCTGGACGCCCGACTGCGCTCAGACTATATTGATCAAATAATCCGGACAACACAAAGTCGCCCCCTCCCGTCATACAAGAGTCCCCGCCTCCGCGCGCTCCTATATCATATTAAAAATATTATAACAACAATGTAATAAACGGCTTTATCCCACCCGACATTTTTTTTAAACGCGCGCCTTTGATTTCGTTAGAATACAGACAGCGAGAAAGAATATAAAAACAAAACATTTCACATATACCGAATGGGAAGGGACAATGTTGTCCCAAGAAGGGACGCGCTTTTTTTGCACATCGTTTTTGCTCTGGACCGCTCTGGACAATTTCTTTTAGATTTTTTAAGAACAACCTTTACTGCCCCGGATGCAAACTGTCTGAATAAAGTCGTACAATAAGTCCCGACGAATGATGAGCACTAAAGCGCGCCCTTTCTTGGGACAAAGTTGCACGTTTCCATTTGGCATGGTAGCGCGTTATTTTCAGCTCGTTTTTGCCCGTGTCGGGCGGCGGAGAGCGGAGACCCCGCGTGTGCAGACGGACGGAATGCTGATTGGAAGACACGTCGCCCGGCGAACAACCAATAGTGGACCCGCGTCGCGTTCCACGGGCGCCCCGGCGGCGGCTGGTGACGCTGGTGACGCTGGTGAGCACGCCGCGCAGCTGCGGCACGGTAGTGGTGGTGGCGCGCCGGTGACTGGTGACGCTGGTGGCGGCTGGTGACACTGATGTATTCCCGCCCCACACGCACACAGCGGGTGCGCCGCCCAATACGTATCAGAACTATGGCGGGAGCCGGTTTTGCATTTCAAATATCCGGCGCTCTCGTAGGAGACAGTCGGGGAGGAGGAGGGGCAGAGGCAAGGGAGAGGGACGAGGGGGAGGGTGTGATCGTGCTGCTGCCGGGGACACGGGCAGCGGCTGCTGCTGCTCGACAACAAGACCGGGCGTGGCGCCGAGGACGCCCCGCTGCCGCCGCCGCCCCCGCCGCGCCGCCCCCCGGGGAGGCCGGGACAGCAGCTCCCCGCCAGGTAATCAAGGACGTGTCAGGAAATGACGGAGTCCGGCCCTCTCGTGGATGAGGCGAGCCATAGGGCGAGCGCGCCGGCCGGGGGGTCAGAGGGGTCAACGTGCGGGGCAAAGACCTGCTCCTTCTCGACTTGAGACAAAACCGACGGATATACGGAGGAGAATGCGATCTCGGTGCTAGGTACGGTAGTCTAGGGTGGGGGTCAATTTAGAATCGGAGTGTAAACGGAAGATTACCAGAGAATCCACCGGTAAATCCACGATAAAACAAGTCTACTACCCCCTACGACTGTGAAAAATATTATTTTCCGAAAAAATGTCCATAAATGTCGTTAAATTAAAATTTGAAACCGTCAACTTGCAAGCACTTCGTATGAACTTGAAATTGATCGACAAGCAAGTGTAGGCTGTCACAAATTTACAATAAATTTGGCAAATAAAATGCCATTTTACGAGGATGTCTTTCATAGTGTACTACCCTCCAACTACACTGGGTACTCACCTCCGAAGTAGGCTAGCATGCTGGTGAGCACGACGCAGACGAGGATGAGCGCCAGCGAGCAGCACTTCCACGAGCATCGGTGCTGGCACCGCTTGTCGATGTGGAACCGGGACGGCGAGTAAGGCGAGTACGTGGCCCCGGAGCCGGCCCGGAGCGACGTGGGGAAGGAGGGAAGCACCACGGGCGTCAGCTGGGGGTTGGCCGCCATGATGGCGGAGCTGGGCGTCGACCCCGTCAGCGTCCCCGTCAGCCTGCGAAGCACACAGAGAGAGAAGCATGTGTTATTCGCAGTCGTTCACCAAAGCGCAAAGCGGTATTTACAGTTGAGTCCCACGCGGACGCCGTCGTCGTCGCCTTTCAGGTTTGCCGCGCGGGAAGTACAACACACAGAGACTCGCGCACACACGCAGACACATTCACACGCACGCACAGGAGCGCGCGCACACACACGCACGCACGTGGAGGTGCTCGCCGCATCCGTATATTTCAGGCCCACCGGTGTGTCGTTGTGTTTGTTGGCGACACTTCAAAGATAACTGCTGCGCTGCACTGCACTGCGCTGGCATCACAGGAGGGAGAGAGGCGGAAAGGTAAGAGAGAGAGAAGGAGAGAGAGAGAGAGAGAGAGAGAGAGAGAGAGAGAGAGAGAGAGAGAGAGAGAGATGAGGAAGCACAAGAGCGAGGGAGAAGAGAAGGGAGATATAGGGAGAGGGATGGGGACAAGACGTGTCGAGAACTATCTCTCGCACCATACATGTTCTAAATATGTTGGCACTGATGACAAATGGCGACAGGAGGGGCCGCGGGGGCCACGGCGCTGCGGCGTCCCCGTGCGGAGCGCGGCGCCCCTCGGGGGGCTGTATGGCCGGGGCGTGCCGAGGG